AAGGTAGGCAGCAGCTTGACAAAGCCATGATGGCAATTATTTTTACATTATTATGGTATCGGTATCGGCCGATACTGCACAGCCAGGTATCGGGCATCGGTATCGGGGCAAAAAAATGGCATTGGCGCAACACTACTTTTTACAGCCTTGCCAGTGTGCAACAGCTTTAGTGAAAACTTTATATTTAGAAGATAAGATAAAATGAACTTTCATCATTCATGAAATGGAGGGTAAAAACATTAATTATTCAAACCACATAGTTTAAACATTTTCATGTTGAAATCACACTTAAAAAAAATAATAAAAAAAAAGGGGAAATTATAGACAATGTGACCCTGTATCATTTTGGAATTCCAATAAAAGAGGAATTAGTGTGGAAACGCCATTGGTACTTATTGGTTGGGATAAACTCCTAAAGTTTAAGAGTAGTAACAATATGTTTGATTTACAGGGAGCTGAAGAAATGAAGCTGGTTACGTTTTTTATGCTAAGTAAGTATTACTTTATTTAGATGGTATTTTTAAAATAAAAATTTTTTGTTTCATCTTTTGCTTCTTCTTTATCCTGACAAGACTCTAAAGTTAGTAATTTACTTGTCATATAACTGATTATACAGCATAAACCTGCAGACATTCACTTCCTTATGTAGGATCTGGAGATGCTTAGAGCTGACATGCAGTAAACAGACCTCAGCTTCATTCAAGTAACACTTCTAACCTGGATAACAGGGTTGATTATTTGCAGTAGACAGTTTGTGCAACAAATTGGAGGAAGTTGTGTTTATTCTTGTTTACATTTGTTTGTTTGTTTTTTTGTGATATCTGAGACAGCCACAGTTTAATGGAGGACCTTCCTTTCGGAAACAACTTCCAACAATGTTTTTCAAAATACACTACATTTGTTTTTGTTTTTTTTCTGCAGGTTTTCTCTGTTGTCAAGCATCTGCTGTTTCTAAGCAGGAGGGTCAGACTGCTACATTTCATGCTAAAACTACTGGACATGTATCTTCCTACCATTGGAACTTTACACAAAACAATGAAACTGAAGAAGTTATTCGTGTGGAAGAAGGAATAATTAAATTCAAAGGAACCAGATTTAAAGACCGGCTTCAAACTAAAAACTGCATCAATCACGATTTCAAAACTCAATCTCAATGACAGCGGAACATTTGAGGGCTTTATTTCAACAGACAGCGGACACTTCCATCATAATTTCAGCCTGTCTGTGACAGGTAAGGAAATTAAAAATACAAACATTCTGATGAGCAAAAAATAAAGTTATTGTCTTGAGTTTTCCTGTCTGTTCTTGCTGCTCTATGCATTGCAGCAATTCATTTCCATTTGTACCTCCTCTGCTGCATCCTAATCACACCTCATTCATCCCACCTGTGACCCTGGCTTTATTATTACTCTCTTGCTGGCAAGCATTACCAGATTATCAAAAGTCATTGTGTGGGTAGATGTCCAACATTATTTCCTTGCCTTCCTGCCTGATCTCAATCATCTTTCCGCCTCTTGGACTTCCCTGTTCCACCTTGACCACTCTGGGTATTCTCTCCCGGCTCCTGATCTCTACAGGAATGTGCTTCGGCTTCCTGACTGCAGTCTCTTGAATTTCCCCTTGATTCTCAGACTGCATGTTGCTCTATTTGCTTGACTTTTATATCTAAGCACAACAGTGGCGGCTGGTGAAAAATATTTTTGGTGGGGCTGATATAGCCTAGTGTATGTCTCCAACTAATCCGGAATAAGAATTGAAATAAACAATTGGACAATACATACAATTTAACAGTAATGATTTAATTTACTATATAATAACAGTAACAGTGATGATTTGGGTCACTGTGACGGGGTTCTTTGGCCTCCAAGAATGCAGTTTTAGTCGGGTTACCGGTGTTGGTGATTTATTGAGCTCAAA